GTGTCTGATGTTGGAAGCTGAGGAGGGGTTTAGTAGGCGGATGGATAGGATGTACCAGATTTTGGATGAGATGAAGGTGTTAATTACCATAGCTCCTGTCTCTTATACACATCTAGATGTGTATAAGAGACAGCGCCTGATGTTAGTGGCTGAAGTGGAACTTAGTAGGCGGATGGATAGGATGTACCAGATTTTGGATGAGATGAAGGTGTTAATTACCATAGCTCTTCCCATCAGTACACATCTAGATGTGTATAAGAGACAGACCCAGGGGTCCCGGACGTCCAACCCAGGTTTTTTGTTTATTTATTTTCAAATTTTGCATCTTTATTTTTCTAAAACAACTCGTACCCCTGCAAAAAACAGAAATTCATTTCTAAAAAATACAGGTGAACTCAGGGACCATATATCTGATGATAAAAAATGACCAAAAAAAAATCCAGCTTTTCTTTATATTTTTTGTTTTAGTTTTCTTGAAATCAAATTTAGTTTTTTATTTTTAAAAAATCCTAAACAACGCCAGATTCCAAAAAACAAAATATGGGGTTGTAGGGCTTAAAATTCCCTACCACTCCATTTGTTTATTTATGTTTTTGGCCTATTATATTATTCAGGAAAAATCCGGTAAAATCGGGTCCGCGGCGCGGACCCGGTAGGCCGCGGAGGCGGCCGTGAATACGTCCGCCCTCCGAGCTCGGCCCTGCGGACGCGTCCGTGGGTGTTTCATAGGGCACAGGAGCCCCGAAAGACGAAGACCACGACAAAGCCATCGACGAAGGGAGTGGAAGGGGTTGATGACGCGTTCATGGCACCCGTCCTCGACGTCGCCATCGCAAGGTGGGATAAGGTGGTTGTCGTATTTCCCGGAGAGACGGTGATGTGGGATTGGGGACGCGCGAAGGAAGGCGGGGGGGTTGGGGGCGTCGTGCATGTGCGTGTTCGTCGTGCGTGTTGTTTTCTCTCGCGCACTGCTGCTCTACCGTTACTTGGTTCGACACTCCTCGACAATCGTCGTGCCGTAGTGCACATATGTCATGGAACTTAGTGGGAGAGGAGGGCGGCGAGGGGGGGGGGGGGAGATGTTTCCTTTTGTGTTCGCCCCCCGCAGGCGTCCTGTGGTCACCAACACGTGGGATGATCTTGCCACGGGGATGGAGGTTGTCGCCAATGCGTTTTTGCAGGTGGAGAGGGAAGAGATGGAAGAGGGGGGATGTGGTAGAGGGTTGTGCTTCTGTCTCTTATACACATCTAGATGTGTATAAGAGACGGGTCCTGTGCTCGCCAACACGTGGGATGATCTTGGCACGGGGATGGAGGTTGTCGCCAACGAGTCTTTGCAGGTGGAGAGGGGAGAGATGAAAGAGAGATGTGGTAGAGGGGGTGTGCTTCGTTCGGTTTCGTCTCAAACATGTTAAGGGTATGTGTTAGAGATGCGGGTGGGGGTGGAGACGATGGCGAGGGGGGGGAGAGAGGGAGGGGGGGGGGGGGGGGGGGGGGGGGGGGTTGGTGATCGGTCGTGGTAGTGGACGTTTTCGTGATGGTGATCATCACCATCGTGGGTCGGTTGTCGTAGGGGTGTTTCATGAACCTTTCGTTTTCTTTATTTTTTTTTTTAAAGATGGCAAATCGATGTTCGAATCTGTTAAAGCGAACATGTAATTGTGTTGATTGATATTTGATAATGTCTACATCGTGTTGTCGCTTCCTATTTATTCCGCTTTCATTTGCATTCACGAATGTTATGGTAAGGGGGACGTAACGGGGCTGTCTCTTATACACATCTAGATGTGTATAAGAGACAGGTCCTTCGCTGCCAAATTTGACAAAGGGTGGTGAGAAGATGGGTGGCGAGGTCACTGGCCAGCACCAGTCTACGCCACGACCTTTGGCCTTTCGTGATGGTGATCNACATCGTGTTGTTGCTTCCTTTTTATTTTGCTTTCATTTGCATTCACGAATGTTATGGTAAGGGGGACGTAACGGGGTCAGGGATGCTTGCTTGAACATATGGTTGATGACAAAGTGAGGGATGTTCACACACGGCATTGCAAATATGCGAAGCAAAGATGCCAAAACAAATAACATACAACAACATCGTGCAATTATGTACTTTTCATTCATCGTCAAAGAAGAAGACAAGCCACGCAACATAAATAATTTACATGATATGTTGTTAGATTGTTGTGTTTCGTACAAAAAAAAGCAGGCGACGACACACTTTGCAAAAAACAAAGGCCTTTGAGGCAACTTCAATCCCAAGTTTTGGGAAACAGAACACACACGATGAAGACTCGACCACATCACCCAGACACGTCACCCACAGTGACACCATAGTACACGACAATTACGGTCGGCACATGCACGCGCGTCACGTTGCCCCCGCTGACTACTCGTTGGACTGCACCATCGCGATCAACCCCACGCGCCGACACCCTCCTGAACGGCGCGCAGTGCGAAACAAAACCGAACGAAACTTCTGACACACGCCGCCCCGTGCACGACAACCCACAGCGAAACAGTCGTCGCTGCTTCAACTCGCCATTTCTAGAAAACGGCCCCGCACACACAATGACCCCAACTCAGACGACCACCCCTTCCAGGACAATACACCTCCCGCATCGTCTGCTATGATTTCTCACCTGCTCCCGACGTCGTCCGCTCCGATTTGTCGCCACAACCACGTCATCGCAGTTGACCGCTCCGCACGCCTGGCCGTGCTCACTGCGCACCCATTCTCTCCGCTAGTGCGTCCCACAGAATGAGCGCATCCCCCGTCGACAACTCCATGCACATCAGCCTCAAGGACCACTGCATCCCAAGATCCACAATGCGACGCACACCGTCCGGCCCGACCTCCCACAGTGGATTATCGTCGAAGGGGATGTCCCCGTCGATGAGTATGTTGTGCTGAATGCAGACGGCAACGAACTGTTGCGGCAACGTCTCCATGTTCGTCTTGTGCGAGGGAAGGAACAACCTCCACATCCCCTTCAGTCTGTCGAAAGCCCTGTCAACTGCTCCCCTCGCCGTCTTCTGCTTGTTGTCGAAGTGCAACTCCGACGGGTGTTGTGAGAGACCGCCGTAGGGGACGACTACCCATTCGGAGGGGGGATAACCATTGTCGTTCAGCAGATACCCGTTCGTCTGCACACCGAAAGGCAGCATGACAGGTGGCCCAGTGAAAAGCTCCCCTGCCTTAGCGCGCGCCAATAAACTCGACAGGTGCACGATCCTCACGTCGTGGCAACTTCCCGGATAACCGATGAACACATCCAGCACGCGCAAGTTCAGATTGACAACAACCTGCGCCTGGACAGATAAACGTCGTTCTCTATCGTAGTAGTCCTCCCCGGGGCAATTCGCTGGCTTGTCGATGAAGATGTGGGTGCAGTCGATGCACCCATGGCAGTTAGGGAAACCCATGTCAGCGAAAGCGTGCAAGACAACCGCCTTTTGCAGCCCCGTCGGCCAGGATATCTTGTCGGGGTATGCACTCAGCAACGCCTCAGTCACATCCAGCACAGCCACCAACCCGGAAGATCTGCCAATGCCGAAGCTGCATGTCCCGTTCTCGTACGTCTCCCCAGACGCCCACCTGTACAAAGTGTACGCGACAATGTGGTCA